TATAACTATGACTCTTATCATCATAAACGCTTATTTCCACGCTAACTATCTGTCCGTCCTTATCTTTAGTTTTATCGATTAAGGCTTCAACATTTAAGGATTTTTCTTCCAATATTCTCCTTATTACCGTATCGCGACCAGCCCCAATATTCTTAACTTGTAATTCAACATTATGAACCCCAAATTCATTCGCTTTTCTAACTAATTCTTCCGCAACCTTTGTGGCCATAAAAGGAGTGCCTTTTTTAGTGCCGGTAATTTTTTTATTATTGCCAAGGTCAATGCTACCTGCACTGACGGTAGCCAAAATGTCACCATTTTCCTTACTTAAATCGAGAATAGTATTGTTAAAACTGAATTTGCCGTGGATAATTCCCCTTCCCTCGGAGACTTTTTTAATTTTTTTGGGTTTAGTGGTTTTAGTTTTGATTTTAGAAACTTTTTTTTCTACCGCCATATATTATTAATATTTATTATTTATTTAATATAATTAATTCTTATCAAACAAGATATTGCTATTATTCATAAGGATAAATTAAGGACAAAGTTAATATATAAATAATTTTAAAAATAAGCCGTTAAGCAGTTTTTTTAGTCTTAAAAGAACAAAATATTCTATCTATTTTTCTTATCCTTAAAATGTCCCTGTATATTTTTCTTATTAATTGGTGCCCACAATGGGAGTCGAACCCATACTGGACGGGTCTTGAATCCGTGGCGTCTACCAATTGCGCGATGTGGGCCAATTAGAGAACCCGATTTTGGTAGCGGGGGGAGGATTTGAACCTCCGATCTTTGGATTATGAGCCCAACGAGTTAGACCAACTACTCTACCCCGCGATTTATTGTCTTAAATTTTTGTTGAGCGAGAACGCTTAATTTTCAAATTCACATTTACAAGTGTATCATTAATTTTAAAAAACACTTATCTATAAATCTTATTTTAGCAAATTAATAATTATTCATTTCATTCCAAACTATAAAAAAAAAAGTATTTTTATTGCTAGATATTAGATAAAAAATAATAATATGGAAGTAGAAATGTATGTAGAAATACCCAAAGGCAGTTCGGACAAGTATGAGTATAATCCAGATACTAAAAAATTAGAATTAGATAGAGTTTTGTCAGTAGCTATGTATTATCCAGAAAAATATGGTCTTATTTTTGGAACCTTAGCACCAGACGGAGATGAATTGGATGTTATTTGTTTAACTGAGAGAACTGGTGGGGCAGGAGAATATATTAAGGTGCGAATTATTGGGGTTTTAAGAATGATTGATAACGGCGAACAAGACGACAAATTGTTGGCAGTTGACATTAATGAGCCTGAACTAAAACACATTCGGAGATTAGAGGATATTCCTGAATTACGAAAAAAAAAAATTAAACATTTTTTTTCTCATTATAAAGATTTAGAAAATAAAAAAGTACAAGTCGGAGAATTTGAAGGTCAAGGGCAAGCCGAAAAATTATTAAAACAGTGTCAAGAAGCCTACAAAAAGTAAAAAAAGTTAACATGGCAAAAAATCTAAAAAAAATTTCTCTGGAAAAAGAATTCTCCTCAAAAAGCGAAAAATCTT